ATGCAGGCCCGTCGGCCTCCTCCTCCTCCTACTCCTCGTCCTTGTCCTCCTCCTTCTCCTCCTTCCCCTCTCCCTCCTCTTGTTCCTCCTCCTCCTCCTCCTCCTCCTCCTCCTCCTCCTCCTTCCCCTCCCCCCAACCACGCCGTCCGTCCCCTCGGCGGAGGGGCGGGTGACCCCGCACAGGGCTCTCCCCACAGGCGGAGGAGGCGGGAGGGGAGTCGAAGTCGCGCAAGCATGGATTGAGGCGCGTGGATTCGCGACGGGTCAGGTTTCCGAGCCGCTCCGGCGCAACTTCGGGCTGGAGCCTAGGTTTGAGAGCTTTTGCCTTTCGAATTCCACGCCGTGTTTGTGGGTCATGACTCCAGGCATTGGGCCGGAGGGTGCAAGGTTGAGGGTGGGGACTGCGGCACATGTCATCAGGCTCAAGGCTTCTGGGTCGGGCTGATAGCATTCGGGCGGCAAGGTGTATACCTTCTCGTGTACGCGAGAGCCAGTCTCCAGCGTGGGACAAAACAAGGCGACCCATTCAGCTCTTTGCTTTTCAACTCATTATTAGAAACTGCTTCCCGGAAGGTGCAGATCAAGTGGTTGCGACGTGGGTGCGGTATCCGCGTAAATTTCGCAGACGCCCGGCTCACAAATCTACGATTTGTTGATGGCGTTCTTCTTTTTGGGACTTGCTTGACGTAACTGCAGCTCATGTTGCGGGAAGTACAGGACGAGGCCGCCAAGGTTGGACTCGAGCTTCATCCAGATAACAATAAATCTTGCACAACCAGTTTCAACAACGGCCCTGAGCGAAACTAGAGTTTGCGTCCGGCCCCGACATGGAAGTATAATTCTTGCCACCCGGAGTTTCGCAAACATATCTTGGCAGGAAGTTCGCATACCAAGACCCTCGTACTAGTGAAGTGGAAAGCAGACTTTCGGCTGGTTGGCGTACATTCCATTCACTCAAGCATGAGCTTACTACTCGTACTTACCCATTACATGGCAGGATACGTTTGATTAGCGGCACGGTTACACCAACAGTGCTGTATGGTTGTGCGTCGTAGGTTTTCACGAGTGAGTTGGGGAAACACCTGCGGCGAACACAGCGTCAAATGCTGCGGATGGTCTTGGGTGCTCCGCGACGACGACAGGAAACCGCATATAGAAAAATGTCGACCGGGCCAGGTTGCCAAGACCATGCCCCGACATCTGCGACAAGCAGTACCTTGAGCGATGCCTGCGCGCACGACACCGCGTTGATGGGAGGCGACCAACAATGCGAAAATGATCACTCCGTGCCCTGGGTCGACTGGATCAAGCGGACTACGCATAAGGTACAGCGCTTGCTAGAGAAACGGAACATTGACGACTTGATCACCACCCGAAGAAACAGGAAATCGAGATGGGCGGCGCAAGCTGCATCTGATCGCCGTAAGTGGACCTAAAATGTCTTACTGTGGGAGCCCGCTCTGCACGCGGAATCCCGACAACGAGTGCGCGGAATCCCGACAACGAGTTCGCAAACAAGCGAGGCCAAAAACGCGATGGGTCGATGATGTGCGCAGGCGCGCGGAGCCATTGGTGTGCGCTGCTGGCGGGGCAGATGAGTGGGTCGACGTGGCCAGAACGCCTACATGGAATGAGCTGGAAACTAGTTTTGTACATCACGAGTGAGGTTGTTCGCCGCGATGCCCCTGCCTGTCGCTTCAGATAATTTGTTCTTCAGGCGGTCCAGCCCCGCCCCGCTCAGCCCCCTCGCGTGGGCAGCGTTGCGGGCGCCGTCGCCGTCGCCGGCGAGAGCCAGTCTCCAGGGTTCCCCCTTGCAGCCCAGGCGACAAAGTAGCAGTTTTTGGGCCCTCGTTTCCCTGGGGCGCCCGTTTCTGCCCAGGGGGCCTCCGTGGCGACCCTGGAAGCGCCGCGGCGCGGTGTCAGCAGGGGCTCTCCAACAGGTGCTGATTGCCGCTTATTTGGTAGAGGGTGCCCCCTGGGAGGCTCCGCGTTTCGTTCAAGTTGTCCCGGGTCGGGCCGTCTAGAATTTCGGGGTAGCTCGGATCGCCCAACAATGTCTCTCCGCGGTTTGTCTGTCTTCAAGACGTTTTTATTCTGCGTATTATTCTTCCGCTGGGGTCTTTTTGGTGCTTTTCTTCGATTTGGTTGCTGCGCCTTTCTCAGTCAGTTTGGAAACGTGGCGCCCCAAAGCACAATATTTGGGATTCGTTGTGGGGCGCGGGGTCGCCCTTGGGACGTGGCGGGGGGGGGGGCGGAGAATGGGAATCCTGTTGTATTGCGTAACAAAGAGAGCTCTTTTGTATTCAGCCACGCAAAGGATCCTTTTGTATCCCGCCACGAAGGGAATCGAATCCCTTTGCGTTCCGCCACGAAGGGGGTCCCTCTGCATGCTGCTACGAAAGGATTTCCCTTGTATTCAGCCACGCAAGGAATTCATTTGTATGCCGCCACAAAGGGAACCTCTGCTCTGTGTATTCTGCAACAGAAGGAATCCTAGTGTATTCTGCTACAAACGGAGTCCTTGTGTATTCTGCCACGAAAGGACCCCCTTGGCATTCCAGTGCAGATGGGGATTGATTTGGCAGTTGACAAACCTGTGTTTCCACAGCGTTTTAATCGTTTTTGAGTGAACACATTAGTTCCGCCTGTGCCTGCACAGCGTTTGAGGGTTTATATTTATTGGCAGACGCATCGGGAAGATCATGTGTATTTATTTATATATATATATATTAACAATCGCTTGTTGCGTGTACACATATGGAGAACATTAGATCTTCTATGTTCACTGGGCCTGGCCATGGGAAGCAACGAGCAACAGCTTCCACGTAACATGCGCGACGACGCTGTGCAGACACATGCGGTTTCAGTATATACCATATTTATACATATATATATATACACATATATATGTGTATCTATATATATATATAGCAGAAAGCTGTTAACACGCGGAGAAGACGCATGTCTCCAATTATTTCATCAATTTCAATGCGGAGTGGCAGAATGCAAGGGGTTCCTTATGTGGCTGGCTACACCAGCCTTCTTCTGTTGCAGCATGCACGCGGTATCCCCTTGTGGCGGCATGCGAAGGAATTCTTTTTGTGGCTGAATATAAAAAGGAAGTCTTTGTGTAACTGAATGCAAAGGGGCTCCTTTTGTGGCGGGGCGCGCAGGGATTTCCTCTGTGGCGGGATGCACAAGGATTCCAATTGTGGCATGATACAAAGGGATTCTCTCGGTGGCTGCGTAAGAAACGCATCATTTTACGGAGCGAATCCATTGCGTGTTTTTTCTTAGTTTTTTTTGTTTTTGTTGAGAGGGGGGGGGGGGGGGGGGGGGGGGGAACGCCAGGTTCTGTTGGCGCCGTCTGTTGCAAAACAATAGGAAAAAACAAAAAAAAAAAAAAAAAAAAAAAAAAGGCGGGGGGGATCTGGCAGCCCGAAAGGCGCGCCGCCGCCCGCCCCCCCCCCCCCCTCCCCCCCCCCCTAACCCGCCCCCCCCCCCAGCTGGCGGCGGAAGTGGCTTGCTTTTCGTCGAGCGCCACCCAGCAGGGGAGCGGCGGGGAGGGGGGGGGGGGGGGGGAAGAGGCGGAGGAGGTTTCGATCGGGAGCCCTCGGGCGACGACTGGAATCGGCTCGTACTGTAGTCGCGTTTTTGTTTTAATGTTGCAACTACTTGAGGTGATGTGCAGGTTGAGCCCCCCCCCCTCAGAAACCCGACTTCGCGGCTCTGCTCGTGATCCACGGTGCGACAATTTAATTGCTCGCGCGGCAAAAGAACTGCTGGCGCGACGAGCCAGAGAGTGCTCGTTCGGTTGCGAGAGCAACTGTGCAGTCTCAGTCCTTGTAGTGATTCATTATTTTTTCTCCTCCGCCTGACGCGGACAATTGTCGTCGCAGTAGACAGGGGGCCTGGGCCGCGTGATTGCCGCATGGGGCAACCGCCCTTCCAGCGTTATTGATAATTCTGATATCATTCGTGTCCGCTATTATTCTCATCACTCCCCCCCCCCCCCCCCCCCCCCCCCCCCCCCCCCCCCCCCCCCCCCCCCCCCCCCCCCCCCCCCCCCCCCCGCATTCATTTTTTTATTTGCGAGAAGCTCAAATCTACAAACCAATGGAACTGCGCCGACTGCTTGTGGGCTGGGCGGTTAGTTTATGGCTGACGTTGCATGCGGTGGCAGGAGAACGCTCGGCGTTGCATTAGAGACACCAGGGAACACAAATGAGATTGCAGACGCGGACGAACAAGTTGCAGGTCAGGTGTTGCAACTTGTCACGGAAAATCCGACCATCAAATTTGATGCGCCCGCGCTAACAGAACTGGCTGATTTGCTCATTTACCCATTCCCACATTCCCACACGGCAGCGTCAATGGGAGAAACAAGTGGGCGATTGATTGCATCCTTGATTTGGGCGGGAATTTCGAAGATATCGTTGAAGCAGATGCAAACAGTTTGCCCCGCGAGTTCCGCGGAAGCAGTGGGTGGAGTGATCGATGGGGCGGCATTCGCAATGGCCATGCGATAGGATTGTTAGCGAAGGAAATGGAGGCAACCAACCACAACAACTACCATATCTATTAGGCCCGTCGAGCTCGTGGCAAGTGGAGCGCGCCATGCACTTGGTGATTTCGCCGGCCGGGGATGAGTGGCATGTAATCAAGCGCCTTATGTTCGACGAGGTGCAACCGATTGTCAAAGTGCAGGAATGGTGGGCGCGCGGCTCGGTGCACGGCAATTCTCGATGACTTCGCAACCCCGCCAGCGCGAAAAAAAAAACATATACCGTGCCAGATTCGATGTGTCTGGCTGCTTTCAAGTTCTCGACGGCAAGTGGCAAGGAGATGCTCAAGAGAGTGTCGTTATTTCAACGAAATCTCAGCTGGGTAGAGGGCAATTCGCCGAGTGGTAAGATGTGGACAAAATATCAAGGACACCCAGTCGTATACTGATCAGAAGAATTGATTTTAGCAGATTGTGCGAGATATGCATCTACAGCCAAATT